GCCTTAACCCATGTAATCTGTAGGCCACTATCTCCCTCTAGTTGCACCGCATGGCAATCATCTACATTATAATCAAAGTTTTGACTGAATCATATCTACCAGATCAACATCATTGCAGCGTCACAGTAGTAGAGAATGGTAGTGCACTATAACAAAAAGAAATAAAAATTGATGTATTCACATTGGGGACATTTTAGGAATGTGAAACGTTTATAAATGGCATTTTCCCTATTATAACTATAAGTAACTCATGACCTTTGCAACTGCTAAAGAAGTCATTCCAAAGTGTGTAAAAGCTTTTCACATTTCTACAGTTCTTCATATTTCTTCCTTAGGTTCCTGTACTAATCAAAAGCTCTTCAGATTTCACCATGTTCACTATTCCAGTGTTTCCATGTTTGCCAGGAATGTTCATTGCAAACATTCTCCTTAGTCTACCTCAGTGGTTCTGATCCTGAAGATCTATCTTCCTGCAGAGTTCAGATCCAACTGCCTGATCAAAATCATAAGAGAGGTTGATTAGCTAGATCAGGAATAGGAGATCTGAACCTCTGCAGGCAGGTTTATCTCCCTGAGCAGGGTCACTGACCACTGACCTTTCCTCTAAAATGCCATTTACTTGACAAATAAGAGCATGACCCTGCCATATAAAGTACTCTTCAGGGTTCATTCACTCCCAACTTCTGATCTTCAGACTTAAGAGGTTCTTTAGCCACATCCTATGTCAAGTACACAGACAATCCCTCCACAAGCTGCACATCCCAGGAACCATCTTGTGGTGTTTGTTTGTTTATATTCTCCTCTACCTCCTTCTGTGACAATTTTCAGTCAGCTGGTGTTCTGGTACCTGACCGGGCGTTATGTAAGCGTGTGAGAGCAGGGAACCATCTGGTATTCCTTCCAAAACCTACACAGCAATGCTGAGGCTGCTGCAGTAGGTTAGGCGTGAAGCCAGTACTGCAGAAGCACACTGTGGAGCTTAGCCTCAACTTTGTCCTATAAGAACTTTTTGAGAATACTAGAATTCATAAAGACAGTAGCCTAGATCTTAAAGCTTACATGGCTGGTTCCACAGATCCAGGTTAAGCCTAAGACCAATGTTGGGGGTAACATGGCACAAAGTACCCATTACAGTATGTGATTAATTTTTCCTATAATAGTCTAACACATTAAAGTTACTAACTTAATTAGAATTACATCACTTGTCTTACTCATATATTTCTAACATAGCAATAGTAACTACAAGGGAAAAGTAAGTGAACAAACTTTAGATTGGATTGACAAAGCTGTTGCTATGGAATTCCAGGTGGTTGCTGAGGTGCTGTTAGACTGCTGCTACGGTATCCCAGGTGGTTGCTAAGGTGTTGCTAGGCTGTTGCTGTGGTATCCTAGGTTGTTGCCAATGTGCTACTAAGCCATTGCTATGGTATCCCAAGTGGTTGCTAATATAAGTGTGTATGTGTGCTGGTATGGGAAATGGGAAAAAAATATGTTTAGACAAACGTTGTATAAAATCCGTATGTGCAATCAGTCCAGAAAGTACAAGTGCACCATTCCCATATATGCTCTACAACCCTGCAATGTTTTGTGGCTCTAGCTCAAAAACTGTGACCCATGAAGTTGGTACAAAATGCAGAATAGTACCATGAAGAAAAGGAAGCTAGCTTTGTCACGCCAATTTAATTATGCATTTAAAACAGAAATGTCCTCTATATAGATTATTCCGCCTCTTCTTGTACATGTGCATGTGATACCTGCGACATCTGACTGCGTGACTTTGGTCGTGAATTGTGCAGAATGAGTGTGGGAAACCCAGTAAACTCAGCAAACGATCAGTCAAATCTAATCATGCTAATATGATACTCATGGTTAAAGATCCCCATCTGAAGAAGGGAGAGCTCTAACCTGACCTAAACAGACCTGACTCAATTTTTATTCAGGAACAACTCTGTAACCATTACATATGTGTTTTAGAGAACAATACAGAAGTAAGGTTATGTGTAGTAAGATTACTTCTTTCCTTGAAGTAATGAGTAAAGTAATCCACACTGCCTAAGGCTGGAGTAAATAGGATTTTTGGTGGTTGAACACCACTGGAATTAGACTTTTGTCCAAGGTGGGTTTATTCCGTGTCCAAGAAGCCAGTAGACTTGTAGAACCAAGGGTGACCTATTCATGAATTAATGAGGTACAAATAAGCTGTTTTCAGCCTGTTGTGGGTTATTTGAACTGTGGCTTTTGTGGTTTTGGCATGGATGTTCTTCAGAAAAACACTGTTCTTTTGTCTAACCATATTGAGTCCATACTGTACCACCCTCTTTGAATCTCCAAACTAATCTTCTGGCTGTATTCAGGTTGACAGGCAAGAATTGGAACCCGCCTCTGGTGTGAGATCTATAGCGCCAGCATGCCACGCTCAAGCAATCTGTTTTGCAGAAGCGAGAGAGGTATTGTGCTTTCTCCTCACAACTTCTATCTGTAAACCTCTTGGTGGCATCCAGTCAGACTCTCTTCTTTATTTACTTTATCTTTCATGCAGACCTCCAGTTCCGAGTTTGACTGACAGAGTTTGCCCGACACTGCCCATACCATCATAACTGAGCACTCAACCAAGTGACACAAAAGGCTTTTGCGCTGCCTCAAGGGCTGAATGTAACACTGCTCTTGTCTATTTTTTTGTGAGACTTGAGAGACATCCACTGCAAAAGCCCACATTTATTCCTATCTCTGGCATACTAGCCTCCCTTTTGACCTCCTTCTTCTCTGCAGCCACCCCCCGAGGAATCAGCAGATGCTGATCCAGGTCACAGCAACAGTCTAGCTGCATTTGATCGTGGGATGGAGAATGATACAGGACTTTCTTTCTGACTGATTAATAAGGAACACATAAATGTCTTCTCACATCTGTTTACCATGACCACACATTCTCCTGCGTGGAGAATTTCACTCTTCTGCTGGGAGTGTGACAACACCAGTGACAGCCGCAATCTGTTCAGAAAATCTAAAACCACCAGGAGGCTTTTAATTACCAACAGTACTTGATTCTAGCTGCATCTTGGGCTTTGAAAACCATATATAAACCAAGATAAACATCTCTTTCCATTAAACCAACATTAAACATACATTTCCATATATTAATGATTTGCTAAGGCACAAATAAGCTGCGTTATTTTCCCCTTGGGGATCAGTGCATTAAAATGCATTGATCCCAAGGGGAAATTTTATTGTTCCAGTGAAGCTTTGTGCATAATATAGTGTACAGACACAGATTAAACATACAAGGAATAGGCATGCACATCAGAATCAGCCAAATTTGGAATCGGCAGAATTCGTCACTCTTGTGACGTAAATAACGTGAGCACGATAAGAACAATGCTTATGAATGCTGTTGTTATACTTATACTAAAATTTCGTAGTACAATTTTGCATGACACATTGTGCTGTATAGCCATATATTTTAATGAAATGTTTTATTTGATATCATGTTATTTACATAGGCATCTAATTTTTCATTTAAATATTGAAAATGCCAGTTTGGCCCATTAAAGAGCAAATAATATTATTTATGTTTAACTTGAACTAATAGAAACTACTGGAAACAGCTAGCATGTTTTATTTAGCCCACAGAACATGATAATTCATGGCCGGTGCATCAAGAAATAGGCAGACTTACAGTACAATGCAAAATAAAAAAAAGACCATTCTTCATTTGTTTAATATCCAGCCAAAACAGCCAATAAGTACACATTATTCAGTTTTCAGGAGATATTTCTGAGGAGATTATATATAAAATGTATAAGGAAGGGGAAAATGTATTAAAAGATACAGACAAAATAGGACTCCTAAACAACCACACAAGACCTGGTAGACCACCAAAACTGTCACCCTCAGATAAACAGTCGTTAAAGCTAAGCTTTTATGTTTGAGAGCTGATCTTGCTTAAGATCAGAAAGTCCACTGATGTTCACTGTAAAAATGGTATCTTGTCAAGCGACATTATCTTAAATCTAGACAATATATGTAATATCTCATGTTAAGATTGTTGTAAGCTTATAAGACTATTTGTCTTATTTATATACATTTTTTTTACTTGTAAATATTTTAAGTAATTTTATCAAGTAAAATTCTCTCATATTATTGGATATTTTTGATTCTTTCAAGCATATTTTTCGAAACAAGTAAAACTGAAAGGATGTGTAGCTGTCAATAAGCAGTTACTGAGAAAATGGACAAAAAGAAGAACATCAAACAAATCAAATCAAACAAAGAAGCTTCTGGTGTTCTCAGAAAAATGGCCTGACCAACCCAGAGTCCAGACCTCAACATCACTGAATGTGTTTGGGATTACTTGCAAAAAATGCAACCAACTTCTAAAACTGAACTTTGGAGATGTGAACAAATAACCCTGCAGAAGCAAGACTTCTGAAAAGAATAGAAGCAAAGGCCGGACACACTAAATATTGAAAATGAAGGTATCACATTTAGCTTATGTGTATTTATCTGTTAAATATGTTTCCTGTTTTTTTTCCTGACGCTGAAACATCAACAACTTGTACATAATAGCCATTCTGACTGGAAATAAACTAAACAAGGGGTGGTCATTGACTTGTGTACAGTACTGCGTGTGTAAGCATGTTTTATCTGAAGCGTAGTATAATGAAGTGTTCTTGCTTACAAATGAACACAGCATCAACCGCAGTGATGGAACATGTCCAGCAGTTTAGTGAGGTATTCCCATTTTCCTCACATGTTCTGCTGCTTCACAGACAGTACATAAAATGAGAACATTGGGCCAAATGAGCTGTAACATTTCTGTGTAAATGACATGTTAGCCGGCCACTCCCACTTGACCCAGTACAGAAACGTAACAGGACTTACTATAGCAGACAATAAAATGCTCACTATATGGCTTGTTATTGGCCCTACCAGGAGCTGCTGTCATCAGCTACACACCCATCAGCTATGCAGTACACCAGCAAACAGGGGCACAGTCGGCTCTCACACCTTATCTAGCACAGCACTCTCTTCACTCAGGCTGCCCTGTGGAGTTCCTCAGTGAGAGCAGCGAGGTGCACTCAGTGGGAATATATGTAGAGCGTCCACAGTAAGAGGAGGACAGGCGCAGCTGCGTTTGGGACGGGGTCTTTTTATGTCCTTCACAAAAGCAAATGGAACTAGCTCTAACTCAGCGCTCTCTCTGCTGGATCTGAGATTTTCTGCTTAACAGTAAGTGGTTATTTGGTAAAACGCGAGTGGATGAGCGCTATTTTGGGACACTGCGAAGGGAGCAGCGCGCTCAGGACTGGGACTACAGCAGCACAGCGACCGAAAACTGGCCGGATCAGGTTGCCAAAGCAGACATGAAGCCCTATTTCTTCTATTCCTCGCTGTTTTGGGTGCGCAAGAGAGCCCACTTCAAGTGTAGGTGACAAAATCAAGACAAAGCCCGATTCCTTTGTTTGGATGAAGTAGACATGCCCGCTGGACGTGCCGGAGCTCAGGTGGATGCGGTGAAGAAGCGCTGGTGTAGTTTTGTGGAGCGCTGCTTTGGACGCTGCGATGTATTCGGCTCTTTGCTTTGTTTGCCTTTGTCGCCTCTCTAGGCTAAACGAATATGCTCGCTGTACGGGACGAGGACTTCTGACGGACATATGATCTGATGGGAACCGACTCCTAACATCACTTTCTCCTCAAATCCTTTATCTCTTTGAGCTTTCCTGCTGGAGGGAAGGACCACTAGAATGCCTGAAGCCCTCTCCCCTGCCCAAGCCCTCTACATGGGCATGGAAGTGGTGATCGCCGTGTCCTCCGTTTTGGGGAACGTGATGGTAGTGTGGGCGGTGAAAATCAGCAAGTCTTTGAGGGACACCACTTTCTGCTTTATCGTGTCTTTGGCCGTGGCCGATATCGCCGTGGGCGCGCTGGTCATTCCGCTGGCGATCACCATCAGCATCGGGCTCCAGACGCACTTCTACAGCTGCCTGCTGGTGGCCTGCACCGTGCTCGTGCTCACCCAGAGCTCCATCCTCGCGCTGCTGGCTATCGCTATTGACCGATACCTAAGGGTCAAGATCCCAACCAGGTAACAAGAAAAAATGGAAGCCCTGAAAGTCAGTGGTTCTCAAGCCAGGGTCCAGGGTCCTCAGAGTAGGAATGATAAGCTGACCTTTACATTCTGAATGAAAACACTTAGAAGACCAGATCTTGGATCAGCCCCCTTTCTTTGGGACGCTTGATAAAGATAGGCCCTGGTTTTGGAGTAGCCCTGCTATGCACTCAGGAAGGGCTTTGCTAAGTAGTTGGTTAATTGGGTCAAGTACACTATGGGTGGGTTTTGAGGACATGGATTAAACCTGGTCTTTGTTTTAGTCATTAGTCTTAGGCTTAATCTCAGGGTGGGGAACTGGACCTCTGTGTCCAAAATATTGCAGACACCTGCTTATCCAATGTTCCTTCAGAATTTAAGGGGTTTGTCCCAGCTTTGCTCAGAACATTTTAGTAAATATGTAAGAACATTGCTGTGAGGATTTGATTTCATTCATTCAACGTGTTAGTGAGATCAGGTAAACCCTTAAAAAGATGGATCTTCAAGGGTTCTTTAGTCTTGGTTTTACATAGCACCATGAACACTCAAAGAACTATTTGCATGCTTAAACAGTTCTTTGCATGGTGAAATGGTTCTTCAGATAGATGGCGAGTGTGTTGTATATGGTTCTATATAGAAAGGGTTCTATATAGCACCAAAAAGGATTCTTGTAACAACAGCAGAACCCTTTTTGGTGCTATCTAGAACCCTTTTCAAAAAGGTTCTAGATAGCACCATCTTCAGAACAGATGTCAAGCTACACTCTTAAAAAATATGCTTCTTCAAGGGTTCTTTAGTAAAGACAATGGTTTTAGATAGAACCATGAACACTCCAAGAACCCTTTGCATGATTAAAGGTTTCTTTGCACTATGAAATGGTTCTTCAGATTGATGGAGAAGGTGCTGTATGTGGTTCTATATGGCACCAAAAGGGTTCTTCTATTATTAAAAGCTTGACATCATAACATTAGCAGAACCCTTTTCAAAAATGTTCTATAAAAAAAGAATTACAACACAAAACATGGTTTTGTATAGAACCACGGTCATTACTAAAGAACCCGTGAAGAACCAACTTTTTTAAGAGTGTGATAATGTTGGATGGTTAATTCTGCATCACAAACACCACTCCGGTTCAAGATATTCAAGATATTCAAAAGTGCTCCTTCAGTCCAGAAAACGCAGTTCCACTGCTCCACAGCCCAATGCTGGGGGGCTTTATACCCCTCTAGTGGATGCCTGTCATTTGGCATGGCTCATGTTTGGCTGCTCCAGAGCATCCAATTCTATTGGCTGTGCTTATCTATGGAGATTATACAAGCTGTGTCCTCTTAACTGAACGCCTGTGTCAGCAGTGGTTACACCTTAAAGTAGCTGAATTCACTAATTGGAAGGAGTGTCTGGATGTTTCTTGGCATATTGTGTATGTTAGAACACAGAAAACAAGAAAAAGAAGAAATTCTACAGTGGCTGATGAGACACAACGTATTGCAGAATAAAAAAACAAGCTGCAAACGCAGAAAACACTTTTATCAAAATGACTACTCCAGCGCTATATTTTACAAACAAGCTGCAAACACTGAAAGCACATGCAACTTCAGAAATGCCAATCACAACACAACAGAAATGTTTCTGAAGAACACTCAGAGATGATGGAATCATTCAAACCAACAATATAGCAATAACTCAAACATTCAAAATAGCAATATCACATATGACCGATAGCTATTATAGTAGAGGAGAGTGGGGTAAGATGAGCCAGTTTACCTATCATCTGTATCTGTGCAACCAAGCAAAAATTTTGTTATGTGACCCTAAATTTTGTTTACATTCTCCATTTTCATCTTGCTGTGGAAAGTAATAACCATGTGGATGAAGTAGTAAGCCTATTTTTTTTTACAAATAAAAAAGTTTTTTTGCCTGTCAAAAGTTTTTTAGGGTATATTGGTTATAATATGGTTATACTGGTTATAATCATTGGTTTATCTCAGTTTAAAAAGTTATATCAGACGTCTTGATGAACTGTAAGTATGAAAAACGTGAATTAACAAAAGTGTAGCTCTGGGTTGCTGGACTAAGCACTTTTTTCCAAAATGGTGGCTGTGGCAAAATGAGCCAGAGCTTTGGGGGTGAGTTTAACCTGAGGTTCATCTTACTCCCTCATGTTTACAAGACGTTAAGTCAAATCTTTGGTGTTTCAATTAGTGTTGCATCTTAATAATGAATGACTGTCATTATATTTCGTATTTAAGATAAAGCCTAACAGCTGTCATTCCATGTAATTACAGAAGAAAGGCAGTGAAAAGCAGCGCATGTAGCCCTAGTGTTTGTTTATCTTCTTGTGGCTGACACAAAAGCATCACTCTTGTTTTGCCATTTTGATGCACATACGACATGTTACAGTTTATGTCCTTGGCTACAAAGTTTGCATTTATATGGATATTCAGAACATTTTGAGATGTTTATGTTTCTCGGCTAAAAGGCTCTCTGTGGTCTTATCAACTCCTGTCATGATTTTCCATCATAGATATTCCATCCCCTTTGAGAGTCTTCCAGAAACGTTTCTGTTGTATTCTGCTGTGTTGTGACTGGCTTTGCAGTGTTTCTGAAGTTGCATGTGTTTTCTGTTTTTGCAGTGCTTTTGTGAAATGTAGTTCAGTCCATTTTGATGAAAGTGCTTTCTGAGTTTGCAGTGCGTTTATGAGTTTGCAACACCTTTTTCGTTATTCTGTGCACTGGGTCTTATAGGTCACTGTAAAAATTTCCCTATTAAATCAATTGCTGAGATGTAAACAAAGCCATTCACTGGTTTGATGTGAAATTGTTCACTGTAGGGAGTTTACCAGCTCAGATTTCTTTACAGCGGTGGTGATAAAAAACAGGTGTCAGAATAATTATAATGCAAATTTAGCCATTTTATTTGCCTTACAATGCCCTGCGTGTATCTCTCCAACACAAATGGCTTTTACAACTAGGCCAAACTTGATCTTAAAACTATCACAAAACAAAGTATCGGGTGTCATGCAATGTATTTGTAACCATTTGCTGTAATAGCTTTCTGTGACGCTGTAGGGGCATTAAATGTTTCAGACATCTGGTTCTTATCACCACTGCTTTGAACAATTCTGACTCGGCTTCTCTTGAATGGAGCATTTCACATAAAACCACTAGGAATGAATGTTTACACACACACACACACACACACACATTATGTAAGCCAGTAATTGATGCAAAAATTTAGAAAAGTTCCCTTAGGGTGACTGAGGTGCTTTAGTAACCAGTTCTCGAAAAGTTGCAAAGTTTATAATAGTGACATTCATCATGCTGCTGGCTCATCTATGAGGGACACCGAGGCAAAGAAGATGGAAGTTGAGCTAATGCTAGCTATGCAGTTTTCTTTGTGCAGTGCTGATGTGTTCAGGTCATGTAGGAATGAGTGATGCAGGTTGGGAAGTGAAGCGGGACTGGCTATATTTAGACATACTTCACCTTAAGAATTTCAAAGGGCCAGTCTGATAGACCCAGATTCAGCCTAAACTTGGACTAAAAAGGATTGTCAATTGTGAATCATTGTTGGCACTGCAAATTATTCTAAATCTAGACTTAATCTCTGTGTGGAAAAGCACCTGAAAAAGTTTGCACTGTTAAACTAAAACTGAATTCTTATCTGGCTCCATATACTTAGACCACGGCAACTTGCGCATTGCATTCTTATTTGACATGGTCATCTGTAGTCTAAGACAATACAGCACTGCAAATTTGTATGCATATCCTCAAATGACCTATATTGGTGCAATCATGTAACAGTGGTATTACACCTAAAATGATGAAACCATGAAGCAATAGTGTTAGCAGCTGCACCTTTTAGGTGCCCTTTCCAGTGGGTTAATTAGAGTAGACAGAGAATAGAAAGAGAACAAACATAGCAGAGTGGAAAAGACACAGCATATAAGTGATTTATGCTCAGGAACTGGATGGTTATTGGTGATGGACTGAGTTGCTGACTTGCAGGGTAGCAGGTTGATTTTCCCTGACCACGAAGTGATGTACTTAACCCCACTGAACCCTTAACCTTTACCCATTAGGACACAGGACTTGGCTGTAGGACAGAAAGACAAATGAAGCAAATAACTGTCACCTGAATGAACAAACTGAATACATTACATTTTTTTTTCCTGCTAATCCACAATCTTACTCACCATGGTCCATTTGTTGACCCTTTAACCTGCATTATTCACCATGAAATAAGACAATTTAGACTAAAGGTGCAAATAAACAGAAAGAGCCATGCCACTAACTGCCCCTCAGGCTCACCTCTACCAAAATGCCACTGTCTCATCTTTAATGGCATGACTGCCAGACATAACCTTTTGATCCAAAATACACCATATGCTACGTGCTCTGCAATCCAACAGCCATGCATTTCTGAGGAGCTGTCGTGCTCTAAATATACTTCTCTTTGATGTGCCTGTGAGTGAACAAACTTATCTTATGCTGCATAAATTGCATTAGGATGAAGCAGCATTTAAACGGAGATGGAGGAATAATAAGTACAAGTCATAAATAACAACATATGGCAGATGAATTGGGCCAATGCAAACTACAGTGCTGAGCGTACATGAGTAATTCACGGTATAATCATTAATGATTAATTCATGATGTATTGATGGAGAATAAAATATAGTCATTAATTATGCTTCATTAAACCCAACTGTTTTCTGCAATTCATCAGAATAAATTTCTTATGCCCTATTATGGTTTATTATCACAGACACTGGCCTGTAGACATTCAAGAGGAAGTTGAAGTGAAGGGTAACGCTCAGAAAGGAGGAGAAAGAGTGAATAAGTGTTTTTTCCAACTATTCAATCTGATGCATAATTGACAATGCTGCTTTCTGAAACCCAGACACACAACTGTCAACGCCTGACATTGCTATGTCTGCAAGTATTGTTGCTTATTCAACAAGATGCATCTGTAGTCACTGTGGCTTAATGAACCAACAAGCAGAATGCACATCAGTTAGCAGACTGAAAGCGATGCATAAAACATTTAATGACAAGATGTCAACTGGAAAGTTATGTAGGGTGTTTTAGCCCTCCAGTGTCCCAATGGCTCCTTGAAATGCCTCTTACTTTTTACATTTTGTTAAATTATTTTTCACTCATAGCTCCTTCAAATAAGCAGAGAAATTCTGTTAAAAGTGGGGACTATAAATTTTCAATCAATACCTCATTTGTGTTTGTAAGCAGAGGGAGGGCATTAAATTTTGATGATGATCTGAATTTAAAAATTGTACACACAGTCATGCTTGTCATTTCTCGACACTGAAACCAATAAAAATGCCGTTCATAATGTGAAGGTGAATGTAACTAGAAGGGGAAGTTGGCTTGACACAGCCATTGCTATGGAATCCCAAGTCATTGCTAAGGTGTTGCTAGGCCATCGCTATATTATCCTAGGTGGTTTCTAAGGTCTTGCTAGGCCATTGCTATGGCATCCCAGGTGGTTGTTAAGGTGTTGCTTGGCTGTCACTATGGTATCCAAGGAGGGTCCTAAGGCCTATGCTATCCCAGGTGGTTAATAAGTTGTTGGGCCATTGTTATAGTATCCCAGCTGGTTAATAAAATGTTACTAGGCTATTACTATCCTGTATTAAGTGGTTGCTAAGGGTTTGCTTAGCTGTATCTTTGGTATCCCAAGCAGTTGCTAGTGTGTGTATAAATCTGTTCTAGAAGGTTTGTGAATTTTTATGTAATCTCTAGGAAGGTCACTGTAAGAGACGTCCATTCTGACATCATTTGTGGTAGTAAGATTTCTGAGCAAAAACACGCATTTGAACAAACTCTGTACGAAAAAACATACGTGATTAGTCCGAAAAAGCACAAGTGCACTATTCCTGTGTAAGCTGTGTGATCTCGCAAAGTTTCGTGATTCGTTCTAGACTGAAAACTGTGACTTGTGAAAATGACATAAAAAAAGTTTAGAATAATAATGAGAGGAAGATAACAAAGAACTGTAAGTTGGCTTTGTCAAGCCAACTTAATTACATTTAAATAGTATAACAGTAGTAAAAATGCTAGACTTCCAGAGGATAAATACATGTAGAAATAAGATGTTGTTATAATCAAATCTTGTATCAAATCTAATCAAATCTTTTTTTACACCACGTCAGCTGCCCTTTGTGTCATTTGAATATTTCATGATGAATAAAAAGAAATCGACCAAAATAATACAGAATAAAAATTAGTTACATTAAAGGACATTAAAATTAAGAACGTTTTATATCTTCTCCTGTACCATTTCAGAGAGAAGTTTTGTTATGACAGTGATCAGATGCTCTCTAGCTTCTGCACAAGTTAGCTGTTCAGTTATAAAAAGTCTTTTTAAGACAAGAACATCACTGTCCTATTCTTAAATGAAAAGTGACATCATTAAAGAAAGAACATACTGTGGGGAAGTTTAAGTGTCTAATATTATACAGGGTGACGGCAGTAGAGGAGAAACTGCCATCAGGCTGCCAAGAAATTAGTGGTCTCCTTGTGATTTGGAGAGGCAGATGTGCCTCATTAGAAGAGAAGGCAGGACTCTTTAGAATCCAGTAAGGAGAAAGCACCAGGCTGAAAAGCAGAGAATGTTGTTGTTATGGATTACACAAGTAACGAAGTGTAATTCATCCTTTTCTTGTTGAAGTGCAACTAAAAAAGCTTTGCTATTCACCTGCACATGGCCATTTTTATAAAAATAAGACGTAAAAAATCAGGGCATATTTCATATTAAGGCAGTTCTTGGAGTTACAGCCTATTCAGTTATTCAAGAGGAAAACAGACTTTCATGTACATATTGGCTGATGCAGATACATAAACGTTTTTTAAAAATTTGAAATTGGGACTAGATCCACCTAGCTTAGAATTAATGAAAAATATAGCAGTTATTTCTGTAGGGTTACAGATGCGGGGAAATAAATAAAATATAGATATTTTAGCAAAGTTAAACAGCGTTGGTGAAATACTCAGTTTTCTGGAATACAATAAATATATAATGAAATATTGCAGTATCAGTGAAATTGGAACATCTGTCTGATGCCAGTAATATTTTTTTATGTAAATATCTATTGACAATGAAATAATTCTGAAATCACTGTGCATGCCTACACTGTTCTTTTATAAAGAAAATGGTTCTATACAGAACCATGAACACTCAAGAACCCTATGTATGATTAACTGGTTCTTTGCATGGTGAAAGTGTTCTTCAAATTGATGGAGAATGTGCTGTAGATGGTTCTATACAGCACCAAAAAGGGTTCTTCTATTGTTACAAGCCTTACATCGTAACAATAGAAGAACCCTTTTTGGTGCTATATAGAGGCCTTTTCAAAAAGGTTCTAGATAGAACCATCTACAGTACATTCTCCATCAATCTGAAAAACCCTTTCTCCACAACCATTTAATCATGCACAGGGTTCTTTGAGTGTTTATGGTTCTATATAGAACCATTTTCTTTACTAAATAACACTTGACAAACCATCTCTTTGGCAGAGCAGTGAAGTATTAGATAAGTCTCATTCATATTGTGAAGTCCTCACTAAGTTACCAATTAACTGACAGATCCTGTTTTGTCATATAGGCCCTCAAGTGTCTTCATTATGCTTCTGATTACTGCACCAAACAATCAAAAGGACAAGTTGTCTTGTTTATATGCATTTTTTTTTGTTCTTTTTTGCATCTTTAATTTCTGTTTAATTTTACACCAGCTTAAGCAGCATCCACAATTTATTCTGCTTTTTAAATAAACATGATTTCTGATGAATCGAGTATCACATCAGCATATTCTAACCTCTTCATTTTCAGCAAAGTCATTTATCTGCAAATCAAATTAGGCGAGTCAGGAGAGGGCAGGTACTTTTATCGTAGATTCAATTACACAAAATACACAGGGAATGGAAAAAGAAATAGCCTACAAATAGCTCCCAGATCAGAAAGCACATCTCACTCCAGAGGGAGATCCATTTGGTGAAGTGTATGTGTAACTAAAGCAATCTTCTGGATGATGGAACTTTGCCTTGTTCAGAGGAAATGATTCCAGTAAGATAGTGGCTGAGAAAAGAGAGCTGTTTTGTTCTGGGGCAGGAGCCTTCTCTACAGTATCACATTACATTAGCCCCCTGGAAGCTATTAGTGGTTCTGTCAGCAACAGTTGTAGTTGACCCTTAAAGGGTAACATGGATATTTTGGAAAATAACAGCACGTCTCACTTGTTTGTTGGGTAGTAAGTGCATGCATACACTTGCCATGACCTCGTTGGTTCTATTCATCTTTATAAACGCAGCCAAGAGGCCTTGAGTATATCGAGCATTTCAAAACATGATAAATCTAAATGCCAATATTTTAGGAAGGCAACAAATGGTTCTCCTACAAGGATAGTCGCTGCAGAAACATGGGCTGGAAGATTTATTGTGAATGACTGATAATTCTTATCAATGACACCAAGGCTAAATAACATCTCTTTTCTTACTCTTGCAGCTACAAGCGAGTGGTCACTCCAAGACGAGCTGGATTAGCAGTGGTCGTTTGCTGGACAGTGGCTTTCATAGTTGGCCTGACTCCTATGCTGGGCTGGAACAATTTACACAACCTGCAGCAAAAGAACGGCTCACTAAGCCCAGACCTCATCATCACGTGCCAGTTTGAGAACGTCATCAGCATGCAGTACATGGTTTACTTCAACTTCTTCGGCTGGGTGCTTCCACCACTGCTGCTCATGCTGGCCATCTACGCAGAGATCTTCTACATGATCCACAAGCAGCTGAACAAAAAAGTGAGTACGAGCCACACTGACCCGAACAAGTACTATGACAAGGAACTGAAACTGGCCAAGTCTCTCGCACTCGTCCTGTTCCTGTTTGCGGTCAGTTGGCTCCCGCTGCATATCCTGAACTGCATCACTCTCTTCTGCCCCGACTGTGAGAAGCCAATGTTCCTCATCTACATCGCCATCTTGCTCACTCACGGCAACTCGGCGGTCAACCCCATAGTCTACGCGTTCCGCATCAAGAAGTTCCGCATGGCCTTCCAAAGGATCTGGAAGCAGTACTTCTGCTGTAAGGAGGCTCCTCCAATCGAGACCCAAATGAGTGAAAGACTGGACAAGGACCACTACAGTCCTCAGCCTGTAATTCCACTGGAGCACAATAACATTTGACTGGAAGCCCCAGGGGAACTCGCTGAGCAGACTGACTACGTTGGCTACTCTTAGTAACGTCTATTTTGAATGTAAATCAGCGCTTTGTCTGCACATGCCGCTGACTGCTGTCGTCAGAGCGTGCCCCCATTATGGGATTATTATGAAACATTATCGCTCCACTTGGAGACGAGAGAGAACGAGTAGACAGTGGAATTAAATCATATAGAGAGGGAATCTGAGATACGGCATACTGGAAATGAGACGGTTTTAATTTAATACTTATGAAAAATGTTTACTAGATCAAAGGCATCCGAGATAAAACCACAGGGAAACTAAACTAGCCTACAGGTATCATACAAGTAGAAAAAAAGAAAAACACTGAAGGCTTTGCACCACTGTGCCATCCAGAATGTGCAATACTGTCTCAAACTCATTACGAAATGCTATAATCACTATGAATTTGAATTTGTCAGAGAACAAATTTAATGAGTAAATGTGAATGTATACAGAATACACTGATAATAATAAAAAAGTAGTCAGTTTTAAGCAGTTGACACACTGAACCTTCAGTTCAGAAAACTGAGAGAACATTAGGAATAATGAAGAAATTCTCTATAGTTTTAGAGTTTTCTGTTTCCTTGTTGCTCAGCATATTTGAGCCAATATAGCTGCAAAAGTCAGAGACCATTAAGTGCAAGGTATTCATTTTTTAGTGAAAAACAGAAAACATATATTTAACAGGAAATCAGCAGTTTAGAGCCGTTTAGAAAATGTGTGTGTGTGTGTTGCCTCCACTCTTTGCTTTCATTAGAGATTTCATTTGTTTCAGAACATTCAGTTTTTTAAAGAAATCTGCAGGGATATTTTTCCACACGTCCAAAGTTCAGTCTTAGAAGTCTTTTCTGTTTCTTATAATCCACGTAACCCCAAATACAGATTTAGAACCATTAGTTCACAAGAAACTTTCAGACTCATAATGTTGAGCTGTGTTCTCACAGATGGAAACTCCTGTGGATTGTTTCAGATCTGAAGCAAGAGTGGAGCTTGATTTCCTCCTCTCTCTCAAAGATGAAAGCTTTAAGTACTGTTTATCTGATGATGATAGTTTTGGTGGTCTACCAGGTCTTGCACAGATGTCAAGAGTCTCAATTTCTCTAAATCTTTTCAATCATTTTTTTTTAAATCCAGGTTTTCGGAAAGCCCTGTTATGTCACTTATCCTTTCTTACTAAAGCAGATTATCTCCTGAAAAATGAATGACATGTAGCTGTTTTGACTGCAACATGAATAAATGAAGGATGGTCTCTGACTTTTGCACAGTACTGTAGTTTATTTATATATTTAATTATATAATTATAATAATATCTAAATAAGGGCTGCCCAGTTAACCATGTACAAGCTGAAATCACAAATGTGGCTTGCATTTATAAAATGTTTATAGCGGAAGGCCACTATTAATGTCTTTCTTAAATAATATAACCACCAAAGTATAATACAGAATTGAAATTTTAAAAAATAAATATTCAAAACAGTTTACTGACATTTATAACTGTATCCCTCGGCCTCTTTCTGAGGGCCTCTTGCCATCTTTCATGGAAACCAGGGTCAATCAGAACTAGGCCTGGGTGCATCCTATCAGAGTAAAGTAGGCAGGGAAGGGGGAGGGGATATGTAGTGCTCAAACCCAAGCACAGCTGAGTGGGCTTTTTCCGAAAGTTGCTTATAAATTTTAGGGGTTGTGATTTTTGTGGTTTATTTCGTTACAAGCCTGATTTGAGAACTTTACCTGAGCCCAACCAAACTGTGCAGTGTAATTAGACCTCTGCAGTGTCAAGGCTTTTCAAAATATTAAAGTAAAAAACAGAATCAAATCTTGACCTCAGAATTGCAAACTGTGTCCCTAATACCCACTGCCTTACTATGGAGTACTTCTTATTACAAACGCCATTACTCTTTGAAAGAGTGCAACACAGATGAACATTAAAGGCAAATTCCACCAATTGTTCAAAATTTCTGCATAATTAAATGGTTAAGATGTAAACAATGGGACTCATTCACCAACCATTCTTGAAACCCACTTACGCAGTTTTCACGAAGATTCTGACATTCACCAGTGTTTTCTTATTTGGGATTTGTTCCTAGGTGAGATCAGAATCTACACACACTCAAGAGCACAAAGGTGTGAACAATTCTGCGGTTTAACCCTTTGTGGTGGGTGAACCCACCGCAAAACTGATTTTTTTAATCAATACAGCCATAACAATTTATGTAAAAATACCAGATGTTTAAAATATCACAAATTGCCAGTGTAGGGTTCTCCTTTAGCAGCTCTAGCCAGTCAGCAGCCTGTCCATGTTGTCCACCCTCACACACACGCACAAATATACAAACACACACACACACAGACACACACACATTAACAGCAGGCCATGTAGGAGGAGAACAGAGTGAAGGGACACAGCACCTCCACACTTTTATTCCCTGCGGGTTCATCCCAACACCATATGTGTAATATAAATGTGTGGGGGGTGTACAGTGTAAAGTCACCTAAAATGTGTTATTTTATATGGTCTTTACAGAAAATGAGCAAAGACCAAGGAATCTGAGGTTGAAATGATAGTAAATCGCATCATTTTTTTCTTTTGGTAAACATTGAAAATGGGTCCCTCAGACCCCAACACCACACATGTCATGAATCTGTCGTAGACCTTTTCTTAGCATCTTTCTGAAGAACAAATGTAAGAAAAAAACTTAGAAAGATATTGATGAATGAGGCCCAGTGTTGTTTAGAATGGATTTGGTCTGAAATGCACCATGTTAAAGAAATTTAGTCAGAATTTGTCAGAGTGGTGGTGATAGGAACCAGACGTCCAAAGTATTTAATGCTGCTAATACCTACCTACACAGAAAGTTGTTACATTAAATAGTTACAAATGTGTAGCTTGATATGTTGGCTGACATATTATTTTATGATTGTTACTACTATTTTACCATTAACAGCATTACGTATATAAACTCTGAATACATACATAGATCCACTGGTGGTTTTGCATGGTAAACAAAATTGGCTACATTTGAGTTGCAGACATCACCACCACTCTGAGTTTCTGTAGAATGCACCATTTCACACCAAAACTCCCTGAATGATTTTGTTTCTCAACCACTGAATTATGCAGAAATCTTGCAAAATTGATGGAAGTCCCTTTTAACTTGTGGTCAGGGTGTAATACATCACTAGTCATAAGCCGTGACTATCAGTATAATTATTATTAATCGTTATTAATCGCACTCACAATATTAATCAAAATAAAAGCAAATGTTTTTTTTTTGTCCAAATTATGCAGCCCTAATATATATACTCAGAGAAGAAAATATACAGGCGTATGCCTTGGGGAACTAATGGAGGAGAGGAAAATATACAGGCAGCTGGAACAGGTTTTTATAGCCAGTGAAGATTCTCTTGCCTTTCAGCTATGAGTGCATGTGTGTGTGTGTGTGTGTGTGTGTGTGTCTGTAAGTGTGTGTATGCACAAGGGACAGAGAGTGCATGTATGAGTGCTAGTGCTGGATGACTGCAGGAAAAGAAGGGAAGAGTCAATTATTATTTATCTAGCTTTTGTGTCCAGAGAACAGCAGCTAGCATTTGGTTAATTTGACCTTCCTTTGCAAATGTTATCAAACCTGCATAATTTAAAGTGGTCGCTGGGTTTAAACCATAGTTAATTATATAATCCAAGCAGTATTATACAATTTGTACATGTTCTCTCTAAAATCCCCCGAGCTATATAACTTTGAAGGGAACATCAGAGTCATGTATTGTCATTTTAAGCCTATTTTCTGCATAGGAGCTACATGCTGTGTTCATACTGAAAAAAAAAAAACAAAACAAAAACATTCTGTGAAAGACTAGGACGCTTCTAAAGCATTGCAAGATTTATTATCTACACACTGATAAAAGCTCTTCAAATAATGCACTTATCAACAGATGCCTCGCCCGTACAAAAAAAACAAAAAACAAAAACAAAACAATGTTTCATTCTGTACATATAATATTTTTTTGGTAAACATGAATCACATGAATGACTGCTAGTGTTCCTCACATTACTTCATGTGCCATTAAATCTCTGCCAAAATACAGTAAGAATGAAGGAATCACATCTGTACATAATTTAGTAATACAAACTGGTATGATGTAAGTACAGTCTGTCCATAATTGCTTGAAAGCAACTGTGGAGTTACAATCATTTGTATATGATCTCTGTTTCTGAGTAAATGGGAATAATGGGCTAATCAATTTTGCGTCTTGTTTTCACTTCGCATTACCCTTTTATTCTCTTTGCAGCATGTTAGGAAATCTCAGAATATGAAAATCTGACAAGCTGATTGCTTTCTTTACAGCCGGTCATTGACTGAAAGGCACTCATGTCCTCTTTCACCAGAAGCTCTTAATTAGCGATTATTTATTACAGCCATTGAGGAAGTCTATTGTGTTTTCCAGCCATTTCAGAAACGCCCAGTGCAAAGTCAAGACGGACAGTAGGAGCGTGAACTTTGCCTGACCCTCCACTAGACGACAATGATTTGCCACAAAGAAATCTCTGGCCAAAATTTGGCAAGGTGCTTGTGCTTGTTTTCTTTCTCTCTTTTTGTCCTTTGTTTGTTTTTGAATACCTGCTGGTTATTCAGAACAGTTATGTTTTGTCGCCATCTAGTGGACCCGCAAAGAACAGCACTGTACTCTGCAATACTGCAGCACATTATTCCTAGGTATATGGCCAGATCTACCATAAGGATGACTGCCCAGAGATACCAAACCAAAATGATTTTTTTTCCAAAGACTCTGCATAATTAAATGGTTAAGATGTAAACAAAGTCATTCAGTCATTCATTCTAGTGAAACCAAGAATTGTTCACAGTGGTGGTGATGGGAACTAGATGTCTGAGTGGTTTAATGCCTCTAAAATATCCCTCACACAAAGTTATTACCTGAAATGGTTCCAAATATGCTGCCTGATGTTCCAGACAAGTAAGTATATTACTTGTAATGGGAGTCAATGTAGCATGATCTTTTCATATAATTTTGGATCATTGGATCATTTGGTAACAGGGGTTTTAAAATTATGCAAAAAAATGAAAAAAAGAAAAAGGGGGATTTTTGCTTGATAGTAACAATATTAAAACTGACAAGACAGCTGTGGTGGTTTTGGATAGTAAACAAAATGGTTATATATGCATTGTAGAGGTTGTGACACCTGGTTCCTATCACCACAGTGACTTAATTATGCAGATTTTTTTCAAAATAGGTGGAATTCCCCCTTAAGTCTTAAATATCATTTAAAGCATCATCATTGTGTGTCTTACTGACAGTAGCCCATCTGTTGCTGCACACACTTTATCCCGTTCATCAATAGAAAGGGGCCATCATGGGACCACCGCTGACCAGATACTCAGCACAGCAGTGACACCAACAAGGTAGTATCATGGTAGAGTGTGTTGTGCTGGTATTAATAGATGTCTAGAGAGGCCATAAGGTAGTTATAATTTTCTGGACTTTTATCTTGAGATCACAACTTAACTGTCTTGTGATCTCAAGATTATCTTGTTAAATCAAGAAAAAGTTTATCTTGAGATACTATACATAGTATATTGACTCATCACAGCTCCAACACACCCATATGTGTAATTGAGTATATATATATATATATATATATCAAGAGTATTATCAAGAGTATTAAATATAGTATCAAGAGTAATAAATATTATATTTATTATATTTATATAATTTATATATAAATGGATATATATATATATTAATATATTTATATAATATATAATATCAAATATAAATATGGTTCATCTTTTCCATCTTGCTCTTATTTCTGGTTTGCTGTACTGACTTTTTGTGTACTGTCTCTTTAAATTAACGCGTCGCCTTAACGGAAGCGGGTTTGTTTTGGCGGCCCAACCAAATGAAAGAAGGAGGGAGCCCTGCGCGTCTTTTAGTACACATTAAGAGTTGAGATTACGTTTAAGTATAATTTTAAAAATGACTCTGAAATTATTAAGTCTTCAAACGTTTATAAAAACAAGAGGCAGCGAATGCGTAGCGCAGCTGGCTAATGCTCAGTACTACCGTCAGCGCAGTGCTAGCATAGCATAGCGCAGTGTAGTGGCTGGCTGGTTTGTTTTTGCGTGTTTTATCCAGCCGTCATTTTAAAAAGTCTTTGCAGACACACTATGGCTTCATTTTAGTAACGGCTTCTGTGAATAAGCTAATGTTACAGCTAGGGCGGTTAGATTTGGTTAGCTAAAGCTAACGGCAACAACAAAAACTCCTTGGCTAGCCAGACAGCAAATAAAAAAGTAACGTTACAAAAAGTGCATCGACTGTTCTGCTACACATCTTTACCATGTTGCACTATTTAAGTTACTATTCTTTTGTGTCTTGCACGAATGGTTAGCTAGCTAGGTTAAGTGGTTGCTGAAAACACTGGTAAATGCCATGAGCTTCATATTGCCTACCGACTCTTCACATCAGTAAAGATGAATGGGAAGGTCATACCTTACACGCCCATTGCAGTTGACTGTTGGCAGGTGCGAAAGTGCCACCATGCCCGGCTCTTCTTCCTCTCGCACATGCATACGGACCACACCTCTGGTCTCACGTCCACCTGGAGCAACCGGCCCATCTACTGCTCGCCTGTCACAGCCAAACTCCTAAAGCTCAAGCTGCAGGTGAGGGTTGGACTGGGTTTCTACCCACATGGCAGTTCGTGCTCAGTGGTAACCTAGCAATTCTGATAAAGTATCACTGAAAATTACATTGTGGTCAGCTCTGAATCTAAAATGTACTCTGAAAATTCCTAGTTATGATTTGACAGAAACCCATAGTATATTACAGTGTTGTTCCATTTGTTATTGTTAAATCAGATCTGATTCTTTCTCGAACAGGTGAAGGAGAAATGGGTCCATGCTCTGGAGGTTGGGGAGCCACACATGTTGCCACTGGATGATATTGGGAAAGAGAAGCTGACCGTTACTCTCATTGATGCTAACCATTGTCCTGGGGCAGTTATGTTCTTTTTCGAGGGCTATTTTGGCACCATTCTGTACACTGGTAAGCTTCATTTGCCTAGCCTTTCAAAATATTTTTAATCTACATGAGCATGTTTTCTGTTTTTGTTTTGACTTATTCAGTTTGCCTTGAGAAAAGAAATGTAACAAATGTAAATGCACTGCATGTCCAAAGGTATGTAGACGCCTGTTCATCCAACTTTTCATTTTGAAATCAAGGATATTAATAGGGAGTTTTTTTTCTGTTTACTGCACTAACAGCTTCTACACTTCTGGGAAGGCTTTATGCTATCTTTCGGAACATTGCTGTGAGAATTTTATTGTATTCAGCCACATGGGCTTTTATTTCTGGCAGTATCTGAGCTCAGGACTAGCTTTCTCTCTAGCCTCTTCATAACTAGTAAAGATAGTAGGTAGACAAAGCACTTTTTGCAAGTCACTCTGGGTAAGAGCATCTGCTGAATGCTGTAAATGTAAAAAAACATTAGTGAGATCAGATACTGAAGTTGGATGATTAGTTCTGCATCACAGCCATTACCCCAGCTCATCCCAAAGGAATTGGATAGAGCTCTATCACATCAGAGAATGCAGTTCCACTGCTCCACAGACCAGTACTGGCTTTAGAACCCTCGAATTTTTGACATTGGATACGGTGATCTAAGGATCATGTGCAACGTCTCATCGTATTGTCAGTGCTTGTCTATGAAGAGTAAACAAGTTGTGCGTGTGTGGAATTGAACACCATTGTCAACAATGGGTTGTTGGATTCCTTGGTTACTTGTGTCCATGTTTTTATTTTTTATACCATATCTGTTATAATATGACTAGTTTTTTAACTATAGTTTTGAAGGAAAACATGATTTAAAGAGTTAATTTTGACTAGCGTAGCATAAATATGTGATAAAATAATGACTTGCACTCTTCACTGTTTTTCTGTTTTATAACAGGGGATTTCCGCTACACTCCTTCGATGCTGCGTGAGCCGTGTCTCAGGAACAACACGACCATTGATGTGCTGTATGTGGACAACACCAACTGTGACCCCACTCGTTCTCTTCCTTCTCGACAGCGAGCCTGTCAGCAGATGAAAGAGATTATACGAGGCCATCCAAACTACACTGTGGTCATTGGTGAGAATTTACAGTGTCTATGTTTTTTTTTAATGTGGCACATGCTATTAATAAGTTCTGATGCGCTTATAATTCTTGCTGATGAAGAAGGAGTAAGATGTTCATAATCTGATATTTTGTACTACTAATTATGTGTCTCTCTGATATTTTAACATATATATCTTATGGGGCATTTTTGAGATTTGTGTCATCACTTAAACTTGAATGCTGTGAGTTACGAGTATAATTGATAGTGTCATCTAAAATTTTGTTGGTCAAAATTTGGTCATCTGAAATTTTGTTTTTTTTTAATGGTCAAAAGCCTCAAGAGCTGTCTCTTTGTAATAATAATAATAAAAAAAGAATTTCCACAAAAGAAAACCCATAACAGAAAAGTTCTTCTGATATAAAATGTTGTTGAGCGTTTGTTCTATCTAGGTGGTTCCTATCTAAGGTGACTAAAGTCTGGAGATTTGATTAATACAGTGGTTCCCAACCTGGTCCTGGATTAGTGCTGGCCTGCATATTTTCTCCTCTGCCCTAACACAGCCAATCAAACTAATCAGTTGATTAACAAGCCTTTCCTTTACTGAAGTGGTTGTGTTAGAGCGGGGAAAACATTCAAATGTGCAAAGCAGGGGTTCTCCATGACCAGGTTTGGGAACCACTGGATTAGAAGAATATTATATCTTTCTGCCCACAGGTATGTATGCTCTTGGTAAGGAGTCTCTGCTTGTGCAGTTGGCCATGGAGTTTAAGACTTGGGTAGAGGTGGATGTGGAGCGTCTGGAGACTCTCCGTGTCCTGGAGCTTCCAGATGTGTTCACTACTGAGCCTGGTGCAGGGCGCATCCGAGCAGTAGCTCAGTCTGAGATCACTGCTTCCAACTTGCAGGCCTGGAATAAGGAGCAACCCACCATCGCTATACTCCCAACCAGTCGCCCTGTGGTGTCCTGCCACCCAAACGTATATGTTGTGCCCTACTCGGACCACTCCTCCTACCAGGAGCTGGAGGACTTTGTCTCAGCTCTGCGTCCAGTCTCGCTGGTGCCCATCGTGGGCAGCTGCATGCCTTACTTCTCCTCCCTGTTGAGCCCACGGAGGAAGCGCCGGGACATGATAGTACCCGAATCAGTTCAGCACTACATGATGGCCAAGTCTAACGATCAGCTTTTTGATTTCAGCACGACTAGCGTGCACCACCGTCCTTTCCGTCCAGTGCCTCGAGGAGTGGTGTTTGAATCACCCAGACAGAGACCCAGGTAAAGACAGACAACATGATTATTGTTATTGTGTTGTCATTATTGTGATAAATTATGCATTTCTGATTGCATTATAAGAGAGAGGCTGTAAACAGAAACAACTACAGTGCATTAGAACTAGGGGTGCGGGAAAAAATCTATTCTTAGATGCATCGCGATGCGGATGTGAACGATTCTGAATCGATTCACAAATGTCAAAAATCGATTTTCTAAATATTTAATTTATAACGTAATATTGACAGAACGCAAAAGGCAGAACTTGGAAGTGGGTAAGTGCAGCGCCTGGACAGTCTGTGACGGCACACAACAAAAACACTACTGGATGAGTGAGAAATCCGACCGGCAGCTTCTGCATTAAAGCCAGGTTAGGTCAGGAGTCACAACCCAAATGATAAGAAGAGTCATTTTGTCCTTTCAACAAAAATCTAACCACCTTGGGAGCCACAACATTTAATGTCCAGTATGTCTCAGTATGTGATAATGTCCTAGTATAGGCTAAACAATATAAACAAGAGCGCAGATCTACTTTACTCTGCTTTAAGCTTCACTTACAGCCGCTTTCTTCCCATCTCCGCCAGAAAACTTTTCCTCAAAACTAGAGCAGTTTATTGTAAAATGTCTCTCAACATCTTATGAGGCTGAAGTCGCTTCTCATTCTCCAGCTTCTTGTTCGAATTTTCCCGTTCCACCTTAAATTCTGACTGAGGCGCCGAATGTGAATGCGGCACCATTTAAGGTGGAACGAGAAAATTAGGAAGAGAAGCGACTTCATCTTTGCGACTTTTTACTGTTTGACAGTCTCTCGTTGCAGATTTAACGTTTCAGGAAACCAACTGCGCTGCTTATAAATGCAAATAACGCATCGTTGCTATGTGACCTGCAGTCTGGACAGCAATTCTCAATTCGTTGCGAAACAGGGCTTTCGCACAATGTTGCACATGTCACGTCTCGAAGATATTTTACTGACACAGCGATCCCCCCCACCCCTTTCTCTACAACGAGACCAAAACTAAAGTTATAAAGTCACTAAAAACGGGTAGGACGGCTGTAACGTGCTGCGTGGACATTCATTACCACTGGATCTTATTTCAACGTAACTGCGCATTTTATCGCAGATGAATGGCAGCAGCGTCTCATGTGCTCCAAAGGCAGTGAATGAGAGCCTTCCAGTTCACTTGCCACATCACTTCCATTTGATTTCTTAATAAAAGATACTGGAAGTAAATTCATCATGGATCATTACAAATACTTTGCTTTAAAACTTTAAAAAAGTCTTCAGACAGTGAGAAAATAGAAATGATGTATAGAAAAAAAAAGATGCATCAAGATGCATCAATAATCGTTTTATAATCGCATCGAAGCCCTCTGAATCGTAATCGAATCGAATCGTGAGGTGCCTGGAGATTCCCACCCCTAATTAGAACTACATAAATTATGCAGTAACAAGTAGCTGATTGGATGTTAACCCATTATGTCGTTATTTTTACCACTTGTAAACACTTCAAGTGCCCATATCCAACAGAGTTTTGTTTATTTGGAATTAGTTATTAGTGATGATACATTTTAAGACTTCAGCAATATTTATATGCTTCATCAAACTTATTTAAAAAAGAGGAAAATACAGTATACGGTGTAATATTGGCCCTTTAAAAAAAGAATCATATTGTTTTTTTTTTTTAATAGGCTTTTGCAAATGTGGTACTACAGTTTTGCCTGTGCATGTCCTTCATTCTGAGTTGTTCTTGAACCTCATGTGATTTACACTATGTAGCTAAAAAATATGTGACCATCACACCTATAAGAGTTTTTGGACAACCCATTCCAAAACCATGGGCAATAATTTGGAGTTGTTACCCCCGACCTAAAATATCTTTGTTTGTTACATTGACATTACCTTTTCCTGGAACTAAGGGGCCTAGCCGAAAGCTTGAAAAACAGCCCCAGGCCATTATCCCTGTTCTGCCAAACCTTACTGTTAACACTATGAATCCTGGTAGGTAGGTTCTACTGGCATCCGCCAAACCCAGATTTGTCCATCAGACTGCCAAATAGTGAAGTGCAATTCATCACTCAAGAGAACATGTTTTCCCTGCTCCAGAGTTCACTTTACACCACTCCAGCCAGCGGTTGGCATTGCACTTAGTGACCTTAGGCTTGTGTGCAGCTGCTTGGCCATGGAAACCCATTTCATGAAGCTCCCAACGCACAGTTCTTGTGCTGATGTTGCTTCGAAAGGCAGTTTGGAACTCTGTAGTGAGGGATGCAACAGAGGATAGGCCTTTTTTACATGCTTCAGCACTTACTGGTTTCTGCTGTGTAAGTTTGCATGATCTACCACTTCATAACTGAGTAGTTATTGCTCCTAGATGCTTCCATTTCAGAATAATAGCATAATAGAATAATAATAATAGATATAGCAGGACAGAAATTTCACAATCTGACTTGTAAGAAAGGTGGGATTCTATGACACTGCCTTATTTAAAGTCACTAAGCTCTTTAGTATAATTCATTCTACTGCCAGTGTTTGTCTATGGAGATGTGCATGACTGTGTGCTAGAGTTTATACACCTGTAAGCAATGAATGTGGCTGAAACACCTGAATCCAGGCCATATAGTGTATATTTTGTATTAGGAAATTGTCTTCAAGTATTGTGATATTTTTGCCATATCACCCACCTTTAGACCCAGGCTTTCCAGACATGAAGATGTGGACTCAGATGCTATGGAGGTGGATGATGGTGCAGTGGAGGTCAATTCTGAAGTAGATACAGACTCAGATTGCATCCTGTTGGACATGAGCACTGATCTCAGTCATGGTGTTACCCCTCCACGGCGCAGGAGTCTAGAGCTGGTTCGAGTTGTGTCCGATGACACCATCACTATCGATAGTATGCCACTAGATGTGAGTGAGTCCCTCCTTGCCATTCAAAACATAAAGTCCCCCAGTACTAAAAGCACAAGCGACACTGAGAGCTTACGCTGTGACTATGTTACTGCCCTGACCCCTAATCTTCAAAACACTAAGAAAAGAAGCCCACAAATGGGAAGCACTAACTCCAGAAAGATGTGCTCGTCATTGGACAGCATTAATCTTCATGACAGCACCTGTATGACAGCTTTTGCAGCCTTAACACCAGTTGAAATGCAGCCTGAGACATCTGATCAGTCTTATACAAGTGAGAGAGAGCAGATAGAGCAGTGGCTACTCGATAACTTCACTGTTCCAGAGGAAGAATTTGTAAGTCAGTATGGGGTTTATCCGAGTTTACATGAGATGTTTCCACTCACTCCAGTCAATATGCCAAAACCAGAAGGTGATCCTTTTGAAGCTGCAATACAGAGATTGAAATCAAAATAGCCACTTATGTGAATGCATAACCATGCAGTATTATTAAGCAACACCATACACTGCTTTCATCATTGTCATGATAGGATCTCATAACTCTTGTTTATTTTTTTTTTATTTGAAAACAACAGCTGTCCCTTTTGTCGTGTGAACACCTTATGTGAATGGACCTATGGAAATGGTCCAGAATTACTTATTACATTAACGTACATATCATAAAAAAACTGATTTTTCTCACTTTTTTGAACCAAAAGTTTCATATAGTATGTAAACACAGTTAAAGTTTCAAAGCATACTTTTCACTTCCCAGGCCATGTGTGGAAATTAAACTGGAAAAGTTATTTTCAATTCACCTTTTTGTGATGTCATGAAAACGAACCATTTATATATCTTCACCTTTTCTGTCTTTAGCAGTTTAGCCCTGCTCATTCTTGTTGAAGTTATAAAGAGCCTCACTGTTTTTTTAATAAGGCACAGTGCAGGGCAGCCAGTCAGAACAGAGCTCATTTACATATGTCAGTCAAAAAGACAGTAACTAAAACAGCTTGTTCAGTTTTAAAGGGTTAAAAGAGGTTGCAAACTCTGTTTTTGGTACATAAAGCCACACAAATGTTATAAGCGAACTGCAGTAAAAACAGTAAAATCCTGGAAAAGTGTAGAATCTGTGACCTTTTAAAAGTGAAGAATGTTTTCCTTCTCCTGTAAAGTTGTCTTTTCAGCAATAGTGTTTTGTTCTTACAGTAACTGTTTGCAATGTGCATGGATACAAATTTATTAGTTGTGTGCTAAATTGTACTTAAGTATGATGCCTTGTTAAAAGAATGCCTGTGATTTGTCTCAGTATGTAATTTATTTTCATTACTGTTCAAGCACTTTAATTTGTCATCTTTCCCTACATTTGTACTCTAAAGGTATTGTGGCTTATGCTTTTTAGACAGTGCCAACTAGAAGGAGAGCTCACTGAGTGTCATTTTTTTTTTATGCCTGTTCACATTTAATATGTTCTCTTTAGAAGTAAATGAACCTACTATGATGTTCACTCCATCCTAAAGCTCTCTGAAGTGCAGTGTTTTACAGCATGCATTTTAATACTGAATTATTTAGTGTTCTGGTGACATTGTGATGTAGCATCATGTAGCACTGTTGTAAACATAATCTCCTGCATGTTTATCTATATGGCAACATCATGTTTTTGGTTCATACTATATATTAGATCAAAAGCACTATGAGTCTGTTGGTATGGTGGCAGGATGGAGTTTTAATGGTTGCCTTTGGAAAGTTTGCAAACCACTATGGTATTAAAAATGTCAAGAATAAAGTTTGCTCTCCATAGTAGTTTAATGTTCATGTCCTTTTCTGATTCATTTAGTCAAGTATGAAATTGTGAACATTTCCCAATGTTAGTATCTTTGGGAAAAAAGAAACGAACTGCAGACACCAAATATATCTAGGCTGAAACTGTTTCAGTTGTTGACCTGACAGTGTAGTACAGTTACAGATCTAGTCATGGAAATGACTGAAGTTTCAAGTTTGTCTTGTGACCTGAGCTGAGAAACAACAGCAAAAAACAGAAAATTCACTGTCTGGGGAAAAAATAAACAGCTGACTACATATTGACTTCAAATGATGGCCTAAAGGTGCCCCACAGGGCGAGAAGTTGTGTAACAAAAGTTGTGTTCATTCAAACTGAACATCTGGTGTACACTTCCTGGAGACTTTGTTAAACCAGCTGTCAATCTTAACCCAAAGTCTCTAGGAAGTGTACAAGGAAGATTGATTGCTGGAATGTTGTAAGAATATGGCCAAGGGGCTTTAAACTGGACAGGTACATGGTCCATCTTGAAGTCAGCCAAGTGCAGCTGCAGACCGCAAGCAAGGTTTGCATCATATCAGCTGTCACATAGCATATCACCGGTCACAGAGCCAGGATCAGCACAAGCTAAGATTGGAAGAACTAGAAGGTTTATAGTAATACCGGGGTTCAGCTTTATAGGATCCAGGTGTATTTTCTAAACATCTAACCCTCAGAGATGCCTTTATTAAATGGTGCTACAGGTTGTTTCAGTAGGTTGTTATTGGTTGTTTCATTACCCAAGCTCTCCATTTAACAAAGAGCAGGTCAAAAAAAATATGTAATTATTGTTGAAATTGTGTTCAACTCGTTTTGCCACATTTCTGGTGTTGCTTTTATTGATATTGATATTGCTTTTATTGATAATGCACTGACACATATCAATATTGCTTTCAATTGTTCATCATTCATTTTTTTTTGTTTGTTTCATTTTAAGCCCATAAGTGTGTATATAAGTTGTATAATATTCTCATAGTTGTTGTGTGTGGTCTTTGAATCAATCTGACAAAAGCAATTTGGTTTTTTAGACTTTTTGGGACAATTTTTATTCAATCCCTAAACAGCATGCTGGTCCTAAGCTCTACTGAGATAGTACTGGACAAGAAGGCCTTGTTACTGGATTTCAAGGAACCAAACATGCCAAAAACATTCTCACATTTTTAGCTTTAAACCAACATGGAACATTGATATTCCCTGGTCTAACCCCTGGAGACAATGCAAAAATAATGTACAATAGGGGAACAATGTTTCAATTTAGCATTTGTCTACTTTATTATAGCTTTAAATGTTAAAAGATTTTTTGGACTGGATGATCTGCAGGTTTGGAGGTTTGTCAGTAGATGGCAGTAGATTCAAGAGAGTGCAATAAGCTCTAGTAAATAAATGCTTCACCCAGCAAGCCTGCTATGTTCATGCAGTACTAAGGCAATTGAATCTTTTCACTTTTGTAACTCTAATTTATCCACAAAATATTCTAACAAGAATTATTATTTTTTTACAAAGCTGCTGACTGTGTTCACTGCGTGATCATGCGTTGATCTATATTGTTCACACTGCCATTCAGAAATTGTTCTTGAAACATTATGGTAAACAATGGTAAATGGATCATTTTATTTACGTCTGTGAGACTGGTGAGAATTGTTTACACTGGTCTGGTCTTCTTTCTCATTATCCTGCCTTCCATAACCAACAGTTAAGCACGAAGTACAAAATGCCTTCAGTTGCCTCAGGCTCTTTTACAGCTGAGCAAAGCTATCGGCCTCCAACAACGTCTGACACTGAGAGGTCTTTAGCACAGTGGGGAGAGAAGCTCTGCAGTAATAGCCCACAATAACAACATTTTTCTCTGTAAAAATAACTTTAGAAATCTTCACAGTGATTCCAGATGCTACAGCAGCTAACCAGGGGGCTTTATTTGGTACTTTCTCTTAGTCATAGTGGTGCATAAGGACTACAGGATTACAGGAGGAATACAGACATAGGACCACATTGTGACCAAGAGAATGAATGAAAATATGTCTATAGACCATTGTACTGGATTAGTTCAAACTGCAGTCGCATAGTAGGAGAATAAAAGAATAATAAAAACAATACCTTAGATATTTACAACTAATCTGTTTAAACCCAAGGCATTAATAGAGAGTAGTGACAAAATGCAATCTTTGGTCATTTACTTAAAAAAAATGAAGGTATAAAGCCACTCAAAGCAAAAAGAAACAGTATTGATGCTTTTTTTTATGAGTTCAACTTTATTAACAATTTTTGATTTTCTAAGTAAAAATACGTAACAGATCAGTTAACACAAACAGTAACAATCTCTACAGAGCCTTTCGGAGATTCTAACTACTTTATTATAAACAGATAAACTAGGAAGCCTTATAGAATCATCTGTCCAAAAATTCATCTAGTTTAATACAAATCTTGTTCTTTAAACAGTTCACAGAGAGGTGTATAGATGTTTTTTATTTATTTTTCATTTAACATCATGTTTCCTATATTAACACTTTTACTTGTACCCAAGTAAATGATCACTACAGTAACAGCACTCTTACTTAAAGCTGCAGTGTGTAAGATTTAGTGGCATCTAGCAGTGAGCATGCAGATTGCAACCAACTGAATACCTCTCCCTCAACCCTTTCTTTCCAAGTGTGTAGCAGGACCTACACTGGCCATCATGTTTTCTCTTCTTTGATGACGAAGATTCACCTGCCTTTCATTTTTCTTGTGCTAAATAATAAGTATGATCCTCCATTTGTCAAAATTCAGGTTCTCAAACTTCTCACAACAAAAAGTGGTTAGCCAGCACCAGCAACACTGATTCTTTGTCTTTCTGTGTCTTCCTACTGATGCTATAGTGCCATCAAATTCAAGCTAACGCTTCAGTGCCAGGCTCTGGGCTACTGTAGAAACATGGCGGCGCAACATATAGTAGATGTAGCTGATAAAATAGCTTATGAATGTAGATACAAGGTGTACCTAATAGACTAACAACTCAGTGTATGTCATCGTTGTCGTAATAAAACCTCATACATCTGCAATGGTAACTTCACTGGAGAAGGAAAAAAAGGTTCTGAAGTAAAAGTGCATTAAAGAGAAATTCTGCCTTATTTTTAAATTTCTGTGTAATTCAATTGTTGAGATGTACACAATGTCATTCAGAGTGGTTTGATGTGAAATGGTTTCTTGTAGGGAAACTTTCCAACTTGATTTTCTTTACAGTGGTGGTGAGAGGGACCAGGGGTCGTGATCTATACAATACACATATAGCCATTTAATTTGCTCTCTACAACCATTAGTGAACCTACACGTCATCTTTTTATATATAATGTTGATGATGGTGAAACAGTGGTTAACTTGATAAAATAATGTCTTCTTTGGGTCTGTTTTGCTTTACAGCACCCTGCAAATACATCTCCACCAAGAATATAGTTAAACAAAATTAAGCCAAAAGCTTTCACTAAAACTCTCATCTCACAGTCCAGATGTCTGGTTTCTATCACCAACACTGTGAAAAATTCTAGCACTATAAATTTATCTAGAATTTAACGTTTCCATTAAACCATTCCGAATAACTTAATGACTGAATTATGCAGAAATCATTTAATGTAATAAGGTTTTATAAATCATTTTCACTTATACATTTACAGTAAGTTTGGATATGCAAACCAGTGCTCTACTGAAGTATCAGTAATACAGTTACATATCAGATAATAATATGCTTAAGATAGGTTCTTAGCGGTGCTTGACTTGGAGATTCTAGGAAAGTTCTTCAGTTTTAGGAAAATGTTTAATTGGAATAGAAACTTTACATGATATAGAGGTTCTTTAAACTTTAAAAAGTGTTCCTCACACTCACACATCTCATTAAAAGCTTGTTCTTCAACGAGCAATTCGTTAAAGATTCTTTAACCAAAGTGGTTCTTCTACCAGTATTGCCAAAGAGCCCTTTTGGTATCTTTATTCCTAAAATTTTAGCCAAGTTCTGACTCCATTTGTCCTCTATTGTCTCCAGATCCAAGAGAACTCCAGGTCATGGCCATGGTGGAACAGCTTGTGCTTCATTTTCATGTCTCGTGTGCACCACTGATGAAAGCCAGTCAGCGTGCAGATCAGTCAGAGAGTTGAATTCACATGTGGCTCCAGCACAGTCCCTCTGCCCTCATAAAGAATGAATGGCTGCTGCTTTCATGAGGATTCTTTGCATTTTGGAGCGGGTCAGTTCAACACATTAACACACAGCTCATGCTCGCTAGGATCAGCACACAGGCACACTGAGACGCAGCTAATGCGCGCTTGAATGATGGCCAACCGCTAATTCTCCCTCAGGGCAAGAGCACTGACTGACTTACAGCTACAGGCAGTGACAAAAGCATCAGTCAAATGTAAAGTTGCATACAATGCAATGAGCTTTAAGTGGCTCTTAAAATAAGCTTCTATTCATATACTTCACACTGCTGTAGAATAAAGTCATGATTATGAAACTGTCAGTATAGGAATTTCTCCTCAGGACTGAATGAGATTAGTATTGTATGCCTATAGTATACATACAGTATTTATTTCACATTCACTGTTACTCTCCTAGGTCCCCCCATGGAGTAAACATATTTAAAGCAGAGGGGAACCCTCGGGGCCTTAATGGCCTTCAGAGACAGCCTAATGATTTCAGGGAACTGAAAAATATGTATAATTTTTTGCTTATTTTTCTTCAACAGAATCATGCTTGTATTTAAACTCTGCAAGTAAGGTCCTTAAAATTTTAGTCACCTTGCGTGTTTAAGGTGGTAGTAACTTCAGGCTCCTGCAGATGGTGTTGCACAAGGATGATGGGTCTATAAATACCTGCAGGATGTGTGACAGGATTCATAGATTGAGAAGAGGTGGTACAGTGCAGTGAATGTCTCATTCGATGTGTGGAAAATGGGTCGCAAAGCAGATGTTAATGATTGACAAATGCCGAAGGCCATATCAGATGAATCTTGTTTCTGCCTGTATGTGAATGATGCTTGGTGTCGTGTTCATCGTAGACCTCAGGAAGCCTTCAGTGAGGACTGTGGGCAAGGTGTGGTTCTGGAGGAGGCTCTGTGATGTTCTGGGGGTGTTTAATTATGCAGAAATGGGTCCCTTGGTTGAGGTGACAGTAAATT